TTTATTTAAATATGTTAAAATTTAAAAAAAGTAGATCATAACCATATTTATGATAATTTTCTAGGCAAATTTGCCTGAAAAAGCCTACAGTTTAAGGGATATGATTCATAAAACATTTTATCACGAATTTTAAAGTTGAAATTAAACTTTAGGGTTAAGGTTTAAGGCTTAAGTTAGGAATTAGTGCTTTTTAGAATGCTGAACATTTTACTTAATATGCTAAATACTGATTATCAAAGCCATCTTTGAGAAACAACATATCTAATAAATCTTACCTCTGTGAGTATTAAAATCATTCTAAATAAAAAAAAAGAAAAAAAAAGAAAAAGATTTTTTACTTTTTTTGATCCAGCAATATTTTCTAATTTGTATTAGAAAAGAAGGGTTTGAAGTTTTTTTCTTGCTTCAGGTAGAGATTCTAAAAGTGCATATATAGCTTTACCATGAAGCTTATATCTGCATAAAGAATTTCTTTTTTTATAATTAGTGACCCACCTATTTGAAAACTTTAGCTCATAAGAAGAAATGCATGATATGGACTTGGAGTTTGTAAAAGATCTCTAGAAGCACAAAACAAATATTTGTACTTCATATTGAAAAAACTCCAAAAATTTGTTAGTATAGTACTGACCAAGTTAAGTTGCATATGTAATGCACCAATTACTGGTATAAAGAACAATGCTATATCTAATATTTAAACAATTAATAATACAATATTTGTTAAATGTTACTTTAAATAAATTAATAATAATTATATTCTAAAATTAAAACATACCCGGAATGTTTGAATTATTCGGGTCCTGTAAGCGAAGACTAATCACTTTTCTTATAAATATTTGCCTAGGCCAATCTGCTACTACAGGCATAATATGATTATTCAAGTAGGACTCTAACGTGTTAATGCTATTTACTCTTTCCAAAGCATTAACATACGCACCTACAGACTTGAGCTCTTGCTCATAAAAATCAAACAGGATACAGTCATTTATTTTATGTTCTTCTTCCTGAGCCTTGATTTGGTCATCGTACAAATATAAAGATAGTGCTTCTAACCTTGTATCAAATGAAATTCTGCAAGAAAAAATTTCATTAAAAGTAAATGCCATACGCTTCATATATTTTTGATCTAAATATTTTAAAATAATATTA